ATCTGAGTGGCTGACTTCAGCTCAGGTCATGATCTTGCGGTTTGTGAATTCAAGCCCCCCGTTGGGCTCTGTGCTGATAGCTCAGAGCCTGGAGCCTCCTTCGGATTCTGTGTCTCCCTCTCTCTCTTCCCCTCCCCCACTCATGCTCTGTCTCTCTCTCAAATATAAATAAACATTAAAAAAAATTATATAAAGTTGATACTCGTGTAAGTACTCTATTAAGGGAGCTGAACTGCTCCTCAGAGGCTAAAGTACTCAAGCAGAAGAGGCTCATGATATTGAAGAAGCAGAGGGGTTCCAGAAGGGTGTTCAAATGTTATGACCTGCTTTTGTCTGAGGCCAATTCGTGAAAGACTATACAAATAGGGAAGAGAGGCTTGAACACTGTTAGAAGTCAGCAATGAAATTTTAAGCCCTCCCTAGACATCCTGCTAACACACATGAACACAGCCACAAAGAGCATGTTATGTTGTAATTGTAGAATTAGTATGTGTGAAATTTAAATACTAAAAAGAATCTTTTGAAAACTGTATGGCTATGACATCTAAAAACCATACAAGTGGCAAGATATAGCAATAAAATGGAATATGGCATGTATTCATTCAAAACACTAAACCATACCGTAGGCACCACCACACGTTTTGATAAATCACCGAAAAAAAAAAAAAGTCAGACTTTCAGAGTTCAAAACATAAATTTAGTTTCTTTGCCAGAGAGGAGAGAGACAAATCCTTTTTATGAGCTATAAAATCTTAGTACCAGAACATTTTGGGTCTGAGTTTATTACCTCAAAAAGCAATCATGACACTGAGTTACCAAGATCGGAGCACAGTGCATTAAAAAAATAGTAATAGGGGGCGCCTGGGTGGCTCAGTCGGTTACGCATCTGACTTCGGCTCAGGTCGTGATCTCATGGTTCGTGGGTTCGAGCCCCGCGTAGGGCTCTGTGCTGACAGCTCGGAGCCTGGAGCCTGCTTCGGATTCTGTGTCTCCCTCTCTCTCTCTGACCCTCCCCGACTCTTGCTCTCTCTCACTCTCAAAAATAAACATTAAAAAAAAATTTTTTTTTAAAACATGGTTGCAATAGGACCTGAAAGAGCTTTATGGTAGGCTATAATCTGAACAATAAACAAACACCCTCTCCCACTCCACCCCCTAAATAATTTGAAACATGCCAGTTACATGTGCAAACAAACAAAATCAATAAAAATGAAGGTTCTCTACTTTACCTCCACTATGCCTAGAGGAATCTGTAAGTACCACCCCAAAGTTGTCCGCAGCCTCTGAAACAACAGGACGCCTAGGGATGCCCATGGGTGGAGAGGACGCCTGGGTGTTTTTTGAGGAGGTTGTTTTCTCTAGAAAAGTTAGAAAACACATAATCACGTACGGTAATATAAGCTTCTGTGTAGATGTAGAGTTAAGGAAAGATACTAAACTCAACTGGTGTATCAATATAAATACATGAACTTGTCTGTTACAGGGTCTGAGTTTAAGACCTACATTGTCAGTACTTAGATAATCTGAGGAATTGACTTAAAAAAATTACTTTGTCAGGGCACCTGGGTGGCTCAGTCAGTTAAGCAGCTGACTCCTGATTTTGGCTCAGGTCATGATCTCAATTTGTGAGATCAAGCCCTGCGTCAGGCGTGGAGCCTGCTTGGGATTCTTCCTCCCTTTCCCTCTCTGCCCCTCCCTCCACTTCTCTCTCTCTCTTTCTCTATCAAAATAAATAAATATTGTTTTTAAAAATTACTTCGTCTTTTTCTAGTAGCTTTAAGGGAAAACTAAAATGTGTCTTTCTTCATCAGGCTAATTTAAATTTACACACAGAATAAACACCACAAGTAAAAAAGCCAAATGCCGAAAAGCTTTCAAACTATTCATCCCTTTTTCTTCTTACTGTACCTATTTCTTCATTCTAAAACATAAAACTCATTCTTAAAGAGCTTCTGTTTCTTCGTGGGAAAATTATCATGTTAAGCTTAAAAATTCCAAGAGGCAAAAAGTGAAAATGGGTGATTATCTTAAAGCTGAAATATGTTCTTCTTATTCAGTATTTATAGGTCAGATTCTATAAACAACTGTGGACTGATGATGAACATTAACTCCAAGTGCAGTTCAAACAAGAAATACTCATTTTTCTAGCTACACTCAGTAGTTAGTATGAAAGGGTCTTTTCCAAAAGCCAATAAATAATTTCTTCTCAATCATACCTCCTTTTTATTTTTGTACTGTACTAAAATACTCTGCTACCCAGTTCCCCTCTCTCCTCGCTGAAGTCTTTTTGTTCATTGATGGCCAAGCTATAATGGCATCTTTTCAATCAAGCCTACCCTCAACGAGCTACCCCACTTGAAAGAACATCCTTTCTTTGTACTCTCTCAGTCCTTCCCAGTACTTGTACTTCGCTCACACCCTTGCCCTTCTGCGGTCTATCCTTACCCTACCCCCGTTGAAACACACAACAGATTATGTCACACAACTCAGCTCAAACCCTCCAACGTTTCCACTTTCTCAGAGTCAGTCAATGTTCTTGCAGGATGGACAAGGCACTGTGTGGGGTGGCCGCTCTGTCATCTTCCTGATTTCAGTTGGTATTTATTTATGTGTCTGAGCCTACTTAGCAAAGTAGAGGCACCGTTAGGATGAATCTTATCTTGATCATCTTTGCTTTCCCTGTATCACCTACACCAACGCCTTACATATCATAAATTCTCAGAAATACTCGTAGAACATTGGATGGGATGGAATAATACAACCATCCAAGCATGGCCAACAAAGGTACTATACTAAAATTATTTAATGGATTTATATATAAGAATCTCTAGGGGCACCTAGAGTCAGTTAAGCGTCCAACTTTGGCTCAGGTCATGATCTCATGGTTTGTGGGTTCAAGCCCCTTGTCAAGCACTGTTACTGACAGCTCAGAGCCTGGAGCCTGCAGCCTGCTTTGGATTTGCTTACACTCTGTCTCTCTCTCTCTCTCAAAAATAAAAAAAATAAATAAAAAAGAATGTCTATGACCCCAAAGGACACTCAGTAATAAAGAGACATCAACACGGCCAGCTCGCTCCTCCTGAGGAAGATTATACTCACCTTTGCTGGTTCGGAAGGTAAGCATGGCGGGCTGCCCTTCACCTGCTGCGCTCCTTGCCACCATCAAAACTTCATAGAGACTAGATGGCTCCAGTTCTGTCAGATGGAGCTCATTCTCACTTCCCGGGACTCGAACTGTGTGCCAGCTTCCCACCAGGCCAACGCCGTCATCTAGCTGCTCAAGAGAAAATAAGTCATTAAAGAAAAGGAGACAAAGGGCAAAAAAACCTTCCATTCCAATTTGAGAAAATCTTCCATTCCAGATGAATGCTGGTAAGGAATATACTGTTGGAAGAAAGAGACGTGATATTTCCTCACATTAAGAAATATAAGGAGACCTGTAACATGAATTTAGGAACTCTCAGGAATAAAAAGACTCCTTCCTGGTTCTCCTACTTACCGCCCATTTGTGGCCTCAAGCAAGTTACTTATCTCCCAGAGTTTGCTTCCTTTACTTGTAAAGGAAACAATACTCCTTTCTTACTGGGCTAATGGGAGCATAAAATAAGTACATAATAATCTGGACTAATGATAATATATAATATACATAATAAATATATGTTAAGTTAGAATACATATGCATATATGAGTTACATAATTATGCATTTTATATTTTTCCAGCATTCTTCATGTCTCACCACTTCCACACGTACTGGAGGAAATAAATGTTAAAAAGATCTGGGGCGCCTGGGTGGCTCAGTCAGTTAAGCGTCCAACTCTTGATTTCAGCTCAGGTCATGATCTCACGGTTTGTGGGTTGGAGTCCCGTGTCAGGCTTCATACTCAGCTCAGAGTGTGCTTGGGATTCTCTCTCCCTCTCTCTCTGCCCCTCCCTTACTTGTGCATATTCTCTCTTGCTCTCTCAAAAATAAATAAATAAACTAAAAAAAAAAAAAAAAGATCCAATCCGTTGTGTCTTAGTTAATAGAACTAGGAAACGACATCACACAGAAGTTTTTGTGTGGGTAAGAATCCCAGTGAAAGTTTCTTCATCTTGAATCATTCAAAGTTTCTACATCTTGAATCATCAGATTAGAAACAGTGAATAAACTTTCAAATATCACCATGTTAATTGTTCCAGATATTAAAAATATATACTATTAAACGATGGGCACCAAAATGTCTTGGACAAAGAAAGGTATTTTAAATATGAGGGTGTCTTTTGTTCATTTATTAGTCTCATAAACAAAGAAACACTTTTTTTCATTTTGCTTTAATACAAGCCTCTGGAAGAAACACTGGAAAATCAACTGAGAGGATCAAGGTTCACTCAAAGAAATCACCAAACAACATAAGATTCCGATACAATTAAGAAGACAACTTGAAATAAAAATAATTGTCAGAGATTATACCAGAGGACTTTGATGTTTCTAATAAGAAACTGCTTTATTTGTTAAATAAACTGTGTTTTACTATCTCACAAAGGGAAGGGGTGACTTTTTAAAAAGTGGTTTCTAGAGGTTTACACTCAAGGGGTTAAAGTGTTTGATAAAAAATGTCAAAAAAAAAATGTCAAGAAGTCACTGGGTTCTTGGAATTCCTATTCTGGGGGATACTGTGTATCTTTCATTCTTACTGCTTACTGGTAAAACCAGCGTGACTGTTGGGATAGCTCTCCCAAACTCATAATCCTAGAACACTCCTGTTTCCTGCTGCTCTATAAACGTCGAAGATAATAAGCTTGTGTTATATACACACAACGTTAAGGTGAGAGAAGAGAAAGCTGATAAATGAGAAGACATTACCTTTCGATACTTCACAAAATAGGCATTGATGGGCAGCCCGCCATCCTTCCCCGCCCTCCAGACCAGGTTGTACGTATCAGATGTGTAGGTCTGCGGAGGGCTCAGAATGATGGGGGCATCAGGGACAGAGGCACCACTAGTGTTTTTCTCTGGCGATGATTCCACTGCGCTGGAGTGTTTCTTCCCTGGAAATGAGCTCAATAATCCAGCTTCTGAACCATCTCTTTTATCATTCTGAGTGGGATTGGAAGGTGTAACTGTTTCTGCTTTTGTATTTGTTTCAAAAGGAACTGCAGGGAATGGAAGAAAGTGAGAGAGAGAGAGAGGAGACAGCTTGAGGAAATTCATTATTTCAGTGCCTTCTTCACAGTGATCCAACTGCCCACAAGGATACAGACAATCTGAGCCCCAGAAGTGAAAGCAGGTTAACAGCTCAGTTTGTAATTCATGGAAACCTCCAACCTCCAACTGTAATCTCTTATTGAAAAAGCTGCGGCAGTGAAGTGATTTTGAGGATGTTATTTTTCCTTGCTCTACGCTAGTATTCCCTCTTTTACAACAACAATTTGCTAGTTTAACTTGAAAGATTTTAAGTTGGAGAACACTGAGTGGTAATTCCAGTTGGTAAATGAAACACATGAAGCGATGCATTCCCTTAGTGGCAAGGTGAACTCAATAGTAAGGAAACAACCAAGAGCTAGGCTGTTACCTGCTGGGGAGCCAGTCTCCAATGATACCCCTCAGTATCCACACCCTTGGACGGTCCCCTCCCTGCTGAATCAGGCTGGCCCTATGACTGGCTTCAACCAAAGTGAGACTGTGCTCTTCCAGGCTTGAGTCTTCACAAGGCCTGGCACTTCAACTTTTGTGTCGCCCCATACAGACATCCAAGCTAGCCGTGTGGAGTGGCGGGGGGAGAGGGGGAGAGAAAGGGAAGGAAGGGGAGGTGGCCGGTTATTCCAGCCTTCACAAAAGTGTCACACATCTGGGTAAAGCCACTTTGGCTGTTCCAGCCCCAGGTACATCTGACTGCAATGGTGGAAGAGACCCCAAGCAAGGCCGGCAGAATTGCCCAGCTGCGTCCAGTTAACCCTAGGAACTGTAAGAGATAATAAAGGGGCTACTGTTTCAGTAATCTTTGGGGGTAGTTATGCAGCAACAGATAATGAAAATACCCTGCACAAGCAAAACAATTTACATTCGACAAGAGGAAACAAGGTAAAAGAAGGGTTTACCTATTTCCAAGCAAGCCCTCTTTCTGGATAGAACTGAAGACTGGCTTAAGAAATCGCCAATCTAGGGGCACCTGGGTGTCTCAGCCGGTTGAGCGCCCGACTTCGCCTCAGGTCATGATCCCACAGTTCATGAGTTCAAGCCCCACATCGGGCTTGCTGCTCTCAATGCAGAGCCCGCTTTGGATCCTTTGTCCCCCTCTCTGTGCCCCTCCCTTGCTCGCGCTCTCTCAAAAATAAAGAAACGTCAAAAAAAAATTGCCAATCTAAAGAAAAATGAAACAAGCAAATAGTCTTAATGACTAAAAGCATACAGAACAAAAGGGAAAAATATTTGCGCTGAAAAAAGAAATAGGTTGCACATCCCATCCCCCAAATTTACTGAGCACATATTATGGGCCACACATTGTGTTAGACATTTAATAAATATAATCTCCTCAAGCTCTCAAAACAACATTCTTAGGTGGACAGTAACATTCCTACTTCACAGCTGAGGAAATTAGGGTTCTGGGAGATTAAGTGACAACAGGCAGCAGAAGAACTCCGGTGATGCTGCTGGAAAAAAATGAGAAAGCAGCTGATGAAAACAAATACACTCCGAGCACCGTGAAACCCAAGTGCTGACAGCTTGGTTTCTCTCAAGTGCTATTCACGCTGGCAACAAAAAGGTCTCCTCTTTTTGACCACTTTTGTGGAGGAAGGGAGCAGAAGAAACGATGTGAAAGAGTTTCTTTTGCACAGTGAAGTCGGATTCCCAGTAAAAGGTGGGTGTGTTTTGAGAAGCACTGCAGTTCAGGAGGGAACCGACACAAACCACGGCTAACGGCGTAAGGTCGGTTTTCTGTTTAGAGGAGAAAAGGTGTCTCCGACGCGTCCTCCACTAAAGAAGCTAGTGAGAAAATAATCCAGGAGAAAATTAATTAAGTTCACTGAGACAACTTCACAATATTGCTTCTGGAGCAGCCGTGTTTATCTAGTGAGTCAGGACGTGGGCTGGCTGGTAAGGGCGTGCGGCTGGTGCCCACTGGGGCGAGAGATGGGCTCTAGCAAGTGGAGGTAATTAGCTGTGGCTTAGGGTAGCGGAGAATGACCTTTTCATCATTAGGAGTTCCACGGAGCCTTTGGGCTGCTTACCACTGGGAAGTGGTATCTGGCCGTACAAGAGTTTAAAGACCACAGGCCTCAATTTATGCAGAGGCAGGAGACAAACTTATGCCACAGCCTGTGTCTAACGGTATCAGTGTCACAATTCTACTCCTGCTATTCTGGACGCGATGAGACTTTTCTGCCACGTTTATTAAAAAGGGGATTCGAGAAGAGGGGAGGAGGAGGAAGATTCAATTCTCTTCTCTCTGCTATTTCCAGTAATATAATTTGAGTACTCACACGATATAATTTATAAGGCCTGAACACCACTTTCAAAAGTTTTTTCACATATATTATCTCAACTTGTCTTCAAAACAACTCTGTGAAATGGTCAGACGAGATCACTTCTTGGCCTTTTGGCTAAGATCAAGTGTGAAATGATCAGTTTAGACATCAAGTATTGGGCGCCTGGGTGGCTCAGTCGGTTGAGCATCCGACTTCGGCTCAGGTCATGATCTCACAGTCTATGAGTTCAAGCCCCGCGTCGGGCTCTGTGCCAACAGCTCAGAGCCTGGAGCCTGTTTCGGATTCTGTGTCTCCCTCTCTCTCTGACCCTCCCCTGTTCATGCTCTGTCTCTCTCTGTCTCAAAAAAATAAATAAAAATTAAAAAAAAAAAAAAGGAAAGAAAAAAAAATAGACCAAGTATTTTTAAACGTAGAATGCTTTTTGAATTAGAAGAGGCTGATAAAATTCTGCTTTTCTAAGTACTATAACTATGGCAGTGAATTTAATGACTCAGAGCTGAAACTAAACAAGGAATATAACCAAACTTGTCAAAGCCGTTCCCACTGTGACCACTCACACCAGCATCCCCTACCCCGACTATCCCAAACCAACTCCCATTATAGTTTTGAAGAGTTACAACCCACTCTACAAATATTTGTACATCTAAGACCTCAAAACCCAAGGTCTCTGGAAAGAAAAAGGAGGAGGGGGCAGTCATCGCTCTCTTTGCCCTTGCTTACCCCCCAAAAAACAAGTAAATGGCTCTCAGTATGCTAGAATTTAATAAGGCTCAGATTCCTGTAGAAAGAGGTGGGTTGTTATGTATTGTGAGCTTTAGTAAACCTGGCTGGATCTTAATAATTATAGGGCGTGCAAAAGAGGAAATATAAGAACATTTCGGAAGGAGGTCGGTGATGGGGTTACTATACATGAAAATGGTATTTATCAAGACATAAAATCCTGGAAGGGGTGGGGAAGACCTTAAAGATCTAAAAAATTCTAACCTAAACAAGTTAGCCTGTGTATTTTCTAAAGGCTTCAGATCTTTGATATTTAAAGTGAGGCGGTGAAAATTATGGAAAGAGCCTAAATGTCCATCAACTGATGAATGGATAAAGAAATTGTGGTTTATATACACAATGGAGTACTACGTGGCAATGAGAAAAAATGAAATATGGCCTTTTGTAGCAACGTGGATGGAACTGGAGAGTGTGATGCTAAGTGAAATAAGCCATACAGAGAAAGACAGATACCATATGGTTTCACTCTTATGTGGATCCTGAGAAACTTAACAGGAACCCATGGGGGAGGGGAAGGAAAAAAAAAAAA